CCCTTGGATCTGGGTATCTATTTCTCTACCCAGGTTTGGTAAGTTTTCAGCCATTATTGCTTTAAATATACTTTCTCTCCATTTCTTTTTCTCCTGGAATTCCCATAATGCAAATATTACTTGTTTTCATTGTGTCCTGTAATTCCTGTAGCCCCTCTTCACTTTCTTTCATTTTTTTTTCATTGCTCCTTTTACTGAATAAGTTCAGTTGATTTTCTTCCAGTTCATTGCTTTGGTCTTCTGCATGGTTAAGTCTGCTTTTGAAACTATAGTATTCTTCGATTCAGTTATTATATTTTTCAGCTCTAGGATTTGGAGTGGATTTATTTTTAATGATTTCTATTTCTTTGTTGAATTTCTTGGTCATGTATTGTTTTCCTAATTTTGTTTAGCTGTGTATTTTTATAGTTCACTAAACTTCTTTATGGGAATTATTCTGAGTTATTTATCTGACAACTCATAGATCTCCATTTCTTTTGGGTCAGTTACTAGAGTTTCATTTATTTCCTTTGGTGGTATCGTACTTACCTGATTTTTCACAAGATCTTTGATTCCTTTAGGTTGGTACCTGCACATTTGATTAAGGTGTCTCCTCTTTCAGACTTAGCATGTTTGATTTGTTAGAGACATTCTTCACTAATCAACTCAGTCTGGATTTCTGGACATGTCTGCTGATAACATCCTTGGGTAGGTAAGGCCTCCTATTAGAGTCTATTTTTGGACAAGGCAAAACTATTCATGCTCTGAGGTCAGGGGTATGTCAAAGACTGATACTAGCTGGATAGCACTGCTGACTTGGTTCCCTACTCCAGTCAGCCTGTGGTATGGTCTTTGTGATTTCCTGAATTCTCTGGTGAGACTTACTAGAAGACTGGGACTGGTACTATATTTAGCAATCTTTAGGGCAATGAATTAGCCTCTCTGCCCTAGCAGGGCAGCAGGATGGGACCCAATGCCTGCCTAGCTTGTTTGGGGACCTGATGCAGGCAAGAGTGTGCACTGAATATCCTGGTCAGATGAGGCCACTAGTTTTGCTTTACAGATGTGGAAAGCCACAGGTTGTGCTCCATTCAAGTGCCTTGTAAATGAGACTCTTGGATGGGCTATGCAGTTTCCTGTGTGCTCTGGTTAGGTTTCCTGTGTGGGTAGGTTGAAGGTTGTGTTGAGCAATATGTGGGGCTATGAACTCATTTCCCTGTTTGGGTGCAGCAGGAGAAGCAGCTCAAAGGCCGTTAATGCTTTGTGGTCTTGATTCAAGCCAACCCATGCCTCATGTGTCCTGGCCAAATAAAACCACTGATTTGCTCTTAATGCTATCAATTCTGCCCGCCTACTTCTTGGCTTAAGAGTTGCTGGGTCACACAGCTTCCAGGTGTTTTTGTCAGCTCTTCCTGTCAGATGGCACAGGAGGTGATGCTTTGTAGGTATGAGGGCTGGAGAGGGTTAGGCCTCTGGATACTGTGTGGGCAAGAGCCTACTTCAGAAAACTCCCAAATTTTCCTGAACAGATTTTCTGATGGAGGGGCTGGGAGCCATGATCTGCAGCAGGGTAGCTGTCGCTCAGCTCTTATGCCAGGGCATGAGAAGACCAGGCACCAGGGCCAGCAGAATTCCTTCTTTGGGGACCCAAATTTGGCAGGCCAAATTCTCCAGATAGTACCACTGACTTGGCTTGCAGATGAATGAAACCACTGGTTGGGACTATTAGGCTATACTCATGGGAATTCAGTCTTCCAACTCCCAAGTGTTGGCTGTTGGAAGACCCTCTCCCCTTCTCTGTCTCAGGCTCCTAGTGGTTGAACCCCATACTTTCCCTGCAATCCTTGTAGAGTGAAACCTGAGTAGGGCCTCCAGCTAAGCAACCTACAACATTGAGTCAGGGTAGGGGAGCTGGATGTCACCCATGGGCACTCCCCACTAGAGGAACTATAAACTCAATGGAGATAGCTCCATGCAGTGGTGAGGCAGCCTAGGGGAGGGGAAACGTGGTCAGCATGTTGACCTCTTATCTTTCTAATGCAGTCTGTCTTGGTCTCTGTTGTGTTGTGGGGGGCCTTAGCCTCACTCCTGAGCACTAGGATCCTCTCAGTGGTGTCTTGTCCATGAATAGTTGTTAGTCATCTTCTTGTGAAGGTGAGCAAAGTGAGAAACAACCTGTCACCATGTTGGTGATGTTACTCCTCTTCCCTCTCTTACCTTATTCCCATTTCAGCAAAGTTTAATACATTAGCTTATTAATAGATTTTACCTATTAATAATATTGATGTGTAGCAACGCCTGGGTGGCTCAGTCACTTGAGCATCTGACTCTTGATTTTGGCGCAGGTCATAGTCTCAGGATTGTGAGATTGTGCCCCATGTTGGGAGTCTGCTTGGGATTCTCTCCCTCCACTCCTCCCTTACACATGTGCACTCTGTCTAAAATACATTAATCTATAAAGAAGAAAAAAAATTGATGCAGATTATAAAAGGTGGCCCTTTACATTCTAGAATGTACTGATAATTAAAAACCATGCAGTTGTAAATGTTATCTCTGTCCAAACTTTCTCCACTATGTTTCTTCAAAAGTTTATAACCAAACTCTTTTCAGAACTTTCAGTATTGGTTACTAATGTTAAATCATATTAACCAGTTATGCAATTTCTAAAATGATAGGTGATAAAATTAATATTATTAAATAGCTAGGACAACCAAATTCTCTAGTTTTTTTTTTTTTAAGATTTTATTTATTTGACAGAGAGAGATCACAAGTACGCAGAGAGGCAGGCAGAGAGAGAGGAGGAAGCAGGCTCCCTGCTGAGCAGAGAGCCCGATGTGGGGCTCGATCCCAGGACTCTGGGATCATGACCTGAGCCGAAGGCAGAGGTTTTAACCCACTGAGCCACCCAGGCGCCCCTCTAGTTTTTTATTGGTATTTTTCCTCACTGCAATGTGACATTGCTAACTTGGTTATACTAAAAGAATCAGGCTGGTGGTTGGCCCACACTCTCTTGTTAATGTGGTCTCTAAGTAGTAATAAAAGGTTATTTTAAAATGCTATATTTTATAACATTTATAATTTCAAATGTTATATTTAATATGGTCTGAATTCATATTTTAAAAACCAAAGAGTAAATGTTGCTTCTATTTTATTAGGTATTAGACTTGTGTTAAAGAAGTGAATTTTAAGTTTCAGCATTTTTTAAATGATGAGATTCCAGAAAAAAAGGAAACAAGATTATAATAACAATTCAAAATATATTATTTAAGGAAAAGTTAAAGTGATCATTAAACCTGAAAGATAAGCTCAAGAAATTACAAAACTTCTCAGTTACAGAGACACATCTGCCAATCAAAAGGGGTACGTTTCCACAGTGTGCTCTGTTACTTGAAATACTGATAACAGAGACGGGGTGGAAGGCAATGTCAGATGTTTTAGAAAACAAAATATATATCTGGAAGTGAAATATGGGGAAAGACTAAGGATAACAGGTGTGAGGGTAGAAGGAACTCCGGGCACTTTGAGCAGATGCGTGCTGTGACAAGGATTTTTACTGATGACTCAGGTGATGGAAGAGGTCAGCACTATGTATTGAACAGAACTTTCTGAGTCTAGAACAACTTTTTAAATAGGGAATTTTTCCTTTATATGTGTTTGATAAAAGAAATGGCTACATCTTGTTCTTCAACATCTAAAGAAACTTAAGAGCTGGACTTTTTTCCCTTTTTGTTGCTACATTTTATAATTCTCAATGACATGTACCATTTCTTGAATTATTTTTTATTTTAAATTGCACTGCTCCCTTATTTTTGGAAAGTGTTTCTTGTGTGTCCTTTATTTTGGGTCTTCACAGGGAAACTTCAGGCAGTGAGAAACACAGCTTCATCAGAGTCACGGTCCTTTCCACTGTCTTCACTTGGTGCACACTCCCCACCACTTGGAGACCGGCAGCTCAGATCCTCTACCCCAGACTCCTGATCACTGTTGGCTGACAGATCTGGATCTGAGCTTTTCAAATTGTCTTGGGTTAGAATGAGAGCAGAATCTTCATCACCTTGTGAAGGACTCCTGGATGGAAAGGATTTCATATTTCCACTGTAATCCTGGGGAGTGTTGGCTGTGCTGTTGTCTGAGGTAGAAAACCCTGAGTGTTTGCTGGGTTCACTCTGTTTACTCTTCACTTTAGGGTGATTTAACTGGACTTTCTGAATTTTTTCCAGCCTCTAAAAAAAAAAAAAAAAAAATTTTTTTTTTTCAGGGAAAAATCTTAAATAATTTAGCATTTATTACTTTCCAGCTGGATATAATGTTAAGAACATGGGATTTAAATGGACATGGGTTCAAAGCTAGGCTTTATGACCTTGGACAAAATAATTAGATTTTCTGAGACTTGGTTTCTTCATCTCTAATTAAGGAAGGTAATACCTGCCTTAGTATATAGGTTTTCTGTAAAATGCAAAAAACAAACCAAAAAAACCTATATAGAGCACCTGGCAATCAGGAGTCATTCTTCCTTCTCTACTGTAAGGTTTTATGTAATGATTTTCATCCTATGAACTCAAAATACAATTCTTTAAAAAATCAGGAATGAGGTGTTTATTATCTAAGTTTTTAAATTAAGATATAAGTCACTTACCATAAATCTCCCCTTCTAAAGTATATAATTCATTGGTTTTAATATATTCACTAGGTTACACAATTCACTACTACCTAATTCCAAAATACTTTTATCATCCCAAAGAAAACCCCATATTCATTAGTAGTTACTCCCTATTACCCCTTCCCACAGTCCTGGCAACCACTGAGGCGCTTTCTGTCTGTGGACAGAAATGGATTTGCCTAGTCTGGACATTTCCTATAAATGGAATCATACAATATATGTCCTTTTATGTCTGGCTTATTTCCCTTAGTTTATGTTCTTGGGGTTCATTCATGATGTAGCATGTATCAATACTCCATTACTTTTTATGATTAAATATTACTACATTGCATGAATATCCACATTTTGTTCTCTTCATCAGATGATGGACATTTGGATTGCTCAAAATATATTTTACCAGATTTCATCCTTTGCCATCAACCAGGGAGGTGTTAAAAGATCAAGTATTACATACTCCTTCCAAAAGCATTCTCCTTATGTGCAAAGGGCATTGTACTGGGCAATATGAGTAATGGAGATAATACAGATCCAGCCATAAGGACCTGGAAGTATGGAGGCAGAGTTCAGGTAATGTAAGAACTTGCAAGAGGTCATAGTTGTTTAAGAGGGTGAGTGGGATGGCTAGAGGGAAGAGATCCGAATAAGCTTCAGGGATGAAGGAGCATTTTTTTTTTTTAAGATTTTATTTATTTATTTGACAAAGCGATAGAAAATGCAAGTAGGCAGAGCATCAGACAGAGGGAGAAGAAGAAGCAGACTCCCTACTGAGCAAGGAGCCTGATGCGGGGCTTGATCCCACTGGGATCATGACCTGAGCGGAAGGCAGTTGCTTAACCAACTGAGCCACCCAGGCGTCCCAGTGAAGAAGCATTTTAACGGGACTGTGAGGGAATTAAACTGGAAGGTGCTGGTGATGGTTAGAGCATTTATGGAAGGAGGGACAATAAGAAGAAAAACAAAAGAGGTCATTGTGTACAAGAAGCAGAGAACAGTTAAATTTGAGCAAGAGCAATGACGTGGATGAAACTAGAGGGTGTTATGCTAGCTGAAATAAGTCAGTCAGAGAAAGACAATTACCATATGATCTCACTGATACATGTAATTAATGAAAAGGCAGAGGAAGAAACAAAATAAGATGAAACCAGAAAGGGAAACAAACCATAAGAGACTCTTAATCTTAGGGAAAAAAGTGAGGGCTGCTGGAAGGGAAAGGGTAGGGGAGATAAGGTAACTGGGTGATGGACAATGGGGAGGGTATATGTTGAAATGAGCACTAGGTATTATATAAGACCCAGAATCACAAACCTGTATCCCTGAAACAAATAATACATTATATGTTGATAAAACAAAAAATAGAAAAAAAAATTGAAAAAAAATTTGAGCAAGGGCAATAATAGAGAATAAAGCTGAAGGAATTGATTACTGAATTGTGGGAAAATCTTAAATGCAAGGCTAAGGAGTTTTGACTTTGTTATAAAGGAAAAAGAGCCAATGTCTTTTAATTAAGGTTTTTCTAAGTAATTTTCTTTTTCATTTTTAGTATTTTAACAAAAAATTTTGGAATAGACCAGGAGAATACTAAGCTTTTCATAAAGCTTGGGTATCTTCAGGAAGAGTAAATAAAACTGGCTTACTGATGGCATGAGTGGACTTAAAAATGACAAAAATCATAAAGGCTTTTACCAGAGCTCCAGAATCCTAAAAACCTAAACTGTGCTTCATTTCATTTGTCTGTGTGTGTTATTTATAATTCAAGGTCTCTCAGCCCTGGTGACAACTCACAATCATTGTGGAGCTTGAAAGATTCTGTATCAGAATCTCTGGGCTTAGAGCCCTGGCAGTAGGATTTTTTTTTTTTTCTTTTTTTTGAGGTGATTTTGATGCACAAAAACTATTTCTCCAGTAATGTAAACTTAAGGTAGAACTCTCCAAATAAGTCCAAAGATGGTTTGTTTTACTTTGCAGATTTATAATAGATATGCTTGATTTCAAAAGTTCTCAAAACCAACAGTTCACTAGTGACGGAATTTGTTTTATCCATCTGGCCACTGTATGGACTTGGGTGAGCAACCCTAGACCAAGCTCTTCCGTGATACTTGTATCTTGAAATGTGATGTTTCCTGGTAATGTTATGGGAGCAACCAGAGAAGTCAGCCTCACCAGCTACCTCTACATGACTGTCTTTATTGGTGGGGTCCCTGAACCATAGTGTGTGTCCCCCAGGCCATCATTCTTAGGAGTGACTCTCCCTTAGGTAAAGGAGTAGACTTTGTTGGAATGTATCTTATGGTATTTTGCCAACTTTCATTTCATTAGATGTTACCAATCTACACTACATATCTCAGGAGTGTGGAAAAAAGGCTGTTCATCTTATTTTGGTATTTAGTCTCAATTGAGAGTTCAGGTCGGGACCACAGCAATTGGTTGCCAATTCTTGAGTAAGTGAATGACATGATGACGCCATGAATTTTTGAGAGGAATGAAGCAGAATGAAGCAAAGAATCCAAGTGGTTTTAGTGAGCATCTAAATCAGTGGTATCACTGGAAACAAAGTTATATAATTAGCAAAAATGTGTATATTATAACCTTCCTGGCCAATTAGTGGGAAATTAGAAAAGCCAAAAATTAGGCTGTTGCTAAGTTGGTCTCAGCTATTACCATTCATAGAGAAATTTTTACCATACATGCATTTATCTGATTTTATTCTTTCACTCTGAATCCCATTTTTTATGTACACCCCAGAAGGAATTCATTTTAGTTTGCTCAAATAACAGTAATGAATAAAACCTGACCCATTGTAGGAATAACTGACTAGTTCAGCAAACCATGTAAGGGAGCCCCAAGCCAGATGTCAAAATGTACTAAGTGCCTAGGTTGGAGCTTTGGTGATCTGGGTGCTTACCCGGTGGGTTTCTGGTTCAGGTTATCTACTTAGCTAAAAATATGAAATGGCTATGCTGCTGCGTTTCACATATCCTGAGTCATGAGAGACGTTCATGGAACAGTGGTTATCAAGAAATAAGCACAGAAAAGGGACGAACAAGAACGAGTGTGTCTTACTTCTTCTAGGGCCTCTAGTTCTTCCTCCAGCTGCTGGGTCTCCTCCTTCACTGCCATAAGGTAATCCGTAACAGACTGTCGGGGCTGCAGTCCCTTTTCAAAGCGGTTGTACATCCCATTCCAGAACCTGTAAAAGATGGCAAAGTTTTAGGGTACCATCATATCACAGTCTGTAAGTTCACTCTCTCAAATCTTCTAAGGTATCTGTCATGCCAGAGTCCCAAAGTCCTAATAATTACCAGTGGTGGGCTCATACTTAAGGTAATGATTTCATGTTGATGCTCTCTTTTTCTTGGGTCAGTAAATTTCTTTTGAGAGGATAAATTCATGGTGAGTCTACTTGTACACATGGTCCTGAAATAAGGCCTGTATCTTTCTAAAGTAGAATGAAGTAGCACATATTAACATATTCTTTCTTTTTAAGAAAATAGCTCTTAGTTTTGAAATAAACTTGGAAAATTAGTGATTATATTAACATTTAGATTCTTTCAGCTTTGTAGATTTGAGGGTTTTGGCTTTTTGTTTGTTTGTTTATCACAACCACCAAAAATTGATGTTTCCATTTGCAATAAATCTTCCCTTTTTTATCCTGCACAATAAAGCATACTGCATTGCAAAGAATAAATAGTACTATCACAGGGATATCTGTAGATTGATGCTTTAAGTAAAGTACTTTGAGGGCAGGGTTTTAGTGTTACTCATTGTCTTATCCATAGTGCTTAGAATAGTGCTTGACTCTCAGTAACACACTTGTTGACTGGCTGTTATTAACAAATCAGGAGCAATACAGTTGATTGAATTGTATCTCAACAGCTCTCAAAACTGCTATTTTATGGCTTTTTTTTTTTCAGTGTGAGACAATATTCTTTCAAATTATGGGGAAATAATTAGATTGAAATAGTTAAGAACAAAAGCAAATTGAGGAGGGAAAAACAACTCTAAAGGAAGCCACCAAGCACTGAGTGCATTTTGGGGGGGTGCATAGGGAGAAAGAACGGGGTTTCTCAGTTTATTCTGTGTAAGTTGGTCTTTTTGCTGACTACTGAGACATCCTTCCACATCATACAACTTCCACATAGATAACCCAAAGGATAAAATATGACATGCAGCTTTAATAGAATCTGTAGGATGCCACCCTGCTCTTCCATATCTCAATATACAGTCTTAAAATAATTTATTTCCACAGGGAAATAATTCCACTAAGCAGAGTTTCAGCAGAGAAAGAAGGTAAGCTAAGTCATGATCACGACCTAAACTTGTGATTCCACATTTAACTTAGAAGACACTTGGTTTATTTGGTCTATCCTTTCTTGCTTCCTTTTCTTCTTCCCTCCCTGTTTTTTGCTTTTAAATAACATTGGAACTTACATTTTTAAAGTATAATTTTTATAAAATATTGATTTCGAAATAGAATTTGATATGTAGGGGAAAGGAGGGGGAGAGGGGACATAGGCCAGAATACCAGATATTTAAGCATTCTCTAGTGTGTTTTATGTCCCAAAAAAAACCCTTGAGGCCCAGTGTTCTATATACTTTGGACTCCAGATATTAAACAGTGGCAGGATCTGCGTTCATAAGCGTCCTCAGTAAGGTCCTGGAGGTTTGCATACTTGTACATGAAGTTGCATGGTGTTGTGGGGAGACGAAGGGTTCCGCGGGTCTGACTCTGATCAGCTCTAAATAGAGGATTCATGTAGTCAGCGCGATTCTTCCACAGGTGAGCCCACAGAGAGTAGGTTCTTTCTTGAATTCTGTTATAAAGAAAAGAAGCCTGAAAATGACCTATCTTGGTTCTTAGAAATTGCAGGTATGTAATATTTAAACTGGAAAGGGACCAATAATTGTGAGGTGAACATCCCGTGTCCCTGTTCTGTGGCAGGGAAATTTACAGTCTGTGTGCGTTTTCATGTTCTAGCAGAAGGGCACTGTAATAGTGTCAGCCTCTCTGCTATCTGTACTGACCTCAACAAGGTGTCTAATTCCTCTGAGTGTAAAGTAAAACTGCTCTGTAATTTGGGGGAAATTTTTCCCCAAATAGTCACTGGAATTTTCTTATTTGCCAAGTACTACTAAAATGCTTTACGAACTGTTTTCTCTCATCCAGTCCTCACTGAACTCCTACAAGATCTGTCCATTGTACGGATGAGGAAATCAAGGCGAAGAGAGATGGAGCAGTTTCTCAAAGTCACATAGTACAAAGACACAGTTAGTGGAATAGCCAGAATTCAAAGGCAAGCAGACACCAGTAAAGTGGCTGGTCCATCACAGCAAACCACAAAACTGTCTAGGAAAACAGGTGAGCTTGAAGGAAGCACTCTGCTACCTTTCATCATTTACCACTTAACCAGGAATCACACTTGAAGATCCTGAGAGAAAACTGAGTATCCACCAGAAAAAGCTATTTTCTTTCTGTTCAGACTGCATAAAACCAGTGACATCCATTTTACTTGAACTGATCATTTCCAAAATTAAATCTGATATTATTATATACACTACAGTTAAAATCATTTCATGACAATTTCAAAACTGCTCTCTCATTGCAGTTCATAAAGCACTTTGCTGTTAAGTTTTTGACTTTGCAATTTAAGTTCTACGTTTCATTGACTTTCCTCCTGGGTAGAAACAATACAGTTTTAATCTGAATAAAAGGTGACTTGGGGCTTCAAATTTGCTTCCCCGGTTAGATTTGCATTTCTTACTAGAAGAGTATATCCACTGAAGATGTCTAACTTTTTCCTTTTTTTTAAAAAATTATTTATTTATTTATTTGACAGAGAAAGAGATCACAAGTAGGCATAGAGGCAGGCAGAGAGAAAGGGGGAAGCAGGCTCCCTGCTGAGCAGAGAGCCCGATGCGGGGCTCGATCCCAGGACCCTGGGATCATGACCTGAGCTGAAGGCAGAGGCTTTAACCCACTGAGCCAGCCAGGCACCCCTAACTTTTTCCTTTTAAGTACAAATACTGCTTTCTCTGACTCCAGGAAGCTTCCTTTCGATATGAGTGCCTCAAGTGTGCCACCCTATCTATGGATGTCACTGGGGTAAATGAGCTTGTTATATTGTCAATCGCTGACATTAAACCATTTATGAAGTGATGTCAGAAAAAAGAAAATAACTTTAATCTGTCAGTATAGATATGTGGCTAAAATAGTCTCCAGAATTTTAAAATGCCATCTGAAATTCTTAATCACAAAATCCTTAGATAAAAATTAAACAGCAAAACACTTACTTGAGTTCTTGTCGCTCCTTTTGACTATTACATAAGAAGTTTCCAAACTGGCAGGAATAAATGTGATGTTGAATGTGAATCAAAAATCTTTCATTGAACTCAAAGGCACAGGGAAATTGTTCCATTAACTGCCAGACACACTCAATGAACTGATCAATAACTGGAGAGATTTCTTTTGGGTCACCATCTAGGTTGCCATATCTATACAAAATATGAGAGATATTATAGCAGGTTGGGGGTTTTTATTTATAAAGCTATAAATGCAAACATGATCACAAAAGAAACCCTAGTTTCTAGATAAACCTTATAAACCTGAGGTGCAGAAGTAGGAAAGATTAACTTCTTAAATTCCACTTTCAAGAGAAACTTCATATTGAAGGTCTGGCTACAGAAGGGACGTATGGTTAGAAAAGAATTAGTAAAAGAGATAAAATTCAAGGGAGCTTTCCATGGCAAAAGAACTTTTTTTTTTTTCTTTTAATGAGCCTTCTTTAATTCAAGCTTCAAAAGTACATCAGGACTTTTGAAGTAAATCTAACACTTTATTTAATTAGCAATTTGTGGGAGTGTAGTTTTTTTTGTTTGTTTGTTTGTTTGTTTTTGCTTTTGCACTGCTTTGTTGGAAGGGAAGAGGAAGAAAGACACCTTGAAAAAAAAATTGTGGTTTCCCAAGTTTCTCAGATATTTCTAGAGCAATGTTAAAGCCTGTCACATAACTTATTTCCCATGTGACAATTCCCATATTTCAGACTCCCATATACCTTTATATCTCCCATCTTTGTTTTTTAAGAGTACATCAGAATCTTCTCCCTCACATTAGTACTGATTTTTTTAAGTGGCTTCCACACCCAGCATGAAGCCCAAACAGGGCTTGAATTCAACCCTGAGATCAGGACCCAAGTCAAGATGACGAATTGGGCGCTCAACGGACTGAGCAACCCAGGCAGGTGCCCCTTGTACTGATTTTTAAATGAAGGCTGCCTAGTCCTTTACACTATTAAGCGAATTTTAGAATCCAAAAGGGGGACTGGAGTGCCATCAAATTCAAAATAACAGTATAGAACCTTATCTGCTCAGCAAGAGATAACCAACTTTAGGAATAGAAATGACCAGAGATCAGTTTAGGAGTTTTTCTAAGAGTGAAAACACTAGAAACTGGAAACTTCTAAAAAATTTAAGTTCTACTCAACGGGGTAGCTTTAAAAAGGGCTTCCTCATAAAACAATTACACAGCTAGTCTTTGTCCATTTCCACATTCTTTCTGTCCATATATCCTCTATCTCAGAGATGCTAACTGCCACAAGGTAATAGAACTTCATTTATCTGTGATACAATGTATACAACAAAACTTTTAACTTTTCGAATAAGATACACAAAGAAAAGCCTGTTTCCCCCCACTCAGTTGAAAACTTCAGAAGCAGATTTTTTTTTATCGTACACATTCAAACCAACAGATTTTTAAATATTTTTTTTACCTGTGATTAAACTTATGACCAAAGGAAATCCAGTCCTTTTCAATTAATACCTACACAAAAAAGAATATAAATATCATGGAGAGAAGCAAACAAGGAAAAATAAGAGAAGAGACCCCCAACCAACAGTGCTGAAGGATTCAAAGGATCTTGGGGAAGTCACTATCCTTAGATAGTGTAGATGAATGCACATCATTGTCCACCAAGACAGACGCGCAGAATGGCAAAGCTGAAGGTCATCCATGGGGAAAACATGGGAATGGATATATGAAAAGGTTATAGTAGCACACATTGAGTGCTTTCTGGGAAACACT